AACGATAAATCGGATATTTGAAAATGAAATCTTACATATAATTTTGAATTTCCGCCGTGGCAGTTATATGTATAAGATTGCGTGTATAACATACAAGATAATAAGTCAAGGATTAGTGAAAATAGAGATCTAACAAAATAAGAAATAAAAATAAAAACAGCCTTACTGGTTGATGGAAATATATAGAATTTCTGGAATACGATTTCAGTTGCGAGACACGTCCTCATAAAAAAGGAAAAAGAACCTAAAAGTGTCATTGGTCCATGAATTGACGAATCGGCAACTTGGCGAAAAGGCGAAAAAAAGAGAATTTTCTCATCAAAATTCTTAAGTGAGCACACTAGGGTAAGGTTCTGCATACTAGGATTGCGGAGTTTCTTTCACTCACTGCGTTCTCTCCGTCAAGGACAAGTAGTCGATAAATTGCCTCTACTGGGGACAATAAAAATAGCCAATACAGACTATATCCTTTGTGCTATTTATTAACGGAAGAAAAGATAACTGAATTGCCTTTTAGTAAGAAACAGCGAGAGTGCGACTTTCGTGTATCATCTTAAAGAGAGCCGTTGAAGACAACGCAGTAGCACAACCGATACGGCCCTTCACTAAACAACTACTCTAACCGCCAAACACATTCACGTCACATATTTAACCCCATATGATACCTTGACAATGTTTTACTTGCCTTTTTGGTATGAGTTAGTCTGCATAAATAAATATATTCCCTTGATTTTTCTTTCCTTTAGTTTTAGTTTCGCATCAGTCAGTCTCACTAATGTATGTCTATATGGACGTTGTATTCACAATTTGGATGTCAAAAAGGAAAGATTTTTGTAAATTCAGCGGTACAGACAAACCGTATATATGTATTGAATAAATGGATACTAATAAAATTACTTATTTTGAGAGAGCGTGTCAAAACCGGCCAAATATCTGACACAAATTTTTTCCCCGTGCCAACAAAAATGTTTTGAGAACACATTATTTGATATCTCTTAAGTATGTAAAGATTTTTTCTAAATGATAAAAAAATCACCTCAGAGTAGTAAAGTCACAATATTGTAAGAAATTATGTAAATCCTGTAAAATTGATTGAATTAAAACAATTATGAGTTTTTTACGAAAAAAAAAAAAAAATTCTGATACCTTTTTATTAGTCTTTAACTATGAATGCCATACAAACTCAGACATTTTTACTATTAATTAACTATTATTAACATTTAAATATTAATTAACGATATTAACATTTTAACTATTAATTAACCATATTTAAGTATATCAAATGACTATTATTAACATCAACACAAACGTTAACACTTATTTTTTCGATTAATCAATCATCATTTTTTACAAGATAGACATTTTTTTTGACTAAAACGCAGTAAATGGTATTAAAAATAATCTTTTGCTGATTTTAAATCCCTTATAAATTATGTATAAAAAACAACAAAATATATGTATTTACCTTCAAAACTGCATTTAAACAGCGCTGAATCTTTGCCACTTTCGAAAGAAAACATCAGCTAAAACTAGAGACAGAAAACTTGTTGACTCTTTATATATATTATCAGCAGGTGTGCTGCTGCTGCATCACAGATAACAGAGAGTTTATATCGGGATCTAGTAACCTTGAGAGATATGCATTCACTACTAGATTCATCCGTCAGGATACTTCTATTACGAGACTTAACAAAGTCCATCACTGAGAACAAAGATTCATAAGTATATGTAGATGAAAACATGGATGGTAATACTGTTGCAAGATATTTTAAACAAACAAAATTTTCTTGAATGGTATTCCTTAATATTTGTTTACCGCACTTCTCCTTGATAATCCTATCTCTAATCGCTCCTATTCAATATTCTCCAAATCAAATCTTAAGTAAACAAATTTCTGCGTCCAAATTGAGCTACTCTGAAATTCAATCAACTGCATTTTAAAAAAAAATCATCCATGTCTTTCCATGAAAACATTTACAAGTTTAGTTCATCAAGTTGATACTGTCTGGAAACTTAATGAATTTTTCTGTTTCTTTCCGTTCTCTGAATTTATCAAATCTTGTAAAGAATCTCAACAGTTGATTCGATAATAAACAGCTTTTGAAGACACTGGCGGTCTGTTCTACCATATTTTGCTAGATCTTTGATACACCTGTTTATGTTTGGGAAGTATGTAAATATCTCATTAACTTTTATTTTCATTTGAAAAGCTTTTATGTAAACAAGACTAACATCAAGTGATTTCCATATCCTGTAATTTAATATTAAAGTCATCTAAATTTTCAGAAACATCTGCAAAAAACATCAAACCAACATGATGTAAGACAATTCTTGGTAAGATACATGTTGGTCGTTCAAAAAGAGCTTTATGTCATCTAAACATTTAACAAATCGTTTCAGAACCAAACCTCGGCTAAGCCAACGAACATTGCTATACATTTTATAATTTATATACAGATCTTAGCTCTTTCAGTAACATTTGAATAATCTTTTCCGGAAATTGTCAAAAAGCAAAGGCACACATTCTAGCCAAGATTCTTTAATATAATCCCCATCACTGAGAGGCTTTCCCTGTTGGCTAATAACTTTTGAAACACCAAAACCAGCAGCAAACAAGTTGGAACTGAATCTGCATGTGTCGGGAAATTTTATTTTTTTAAATATTTTTTATTGTTCAAAAATTTAAATTTTATTGTGAACAATAAAAGCCCTTAAATTTTATTGTGGACAATAATACAAAAGTCCTTAAATTTTATTGTGAACAACGCTTTTGGGTATTAATTTCTTGAAATGCATCGCTTATGTAATTTTTCAAATCACCGACACTTATTGGTTTTCGTCTCTAAACTTTGTTCTTGAGTACTCCCCAAAAGAAGGAATCCATTGGGGTTAAGTCTGGTGAACGTGCCGGCCAATCAATTGGACCTCATCGCCCAATCAATTTCTCGGGAAATGTTTCAAGATACTCAGTTGTAATAATATGACCGATCCATAAACCTATTCCACATTCCACATACAGTCCACCAACATTTGGACTACCCTGTATATATATATATATATATATATATATATATATATATATATATATATATATATATATATAAAGAAATGGACAAAGTTCGACAATTTATTTATTAAAGACATTTTTATGTTTATATCTATATATTTATGTTCAATTTCTGTGTGTGTATAGGTGTGTGTGAGGGCACGTCTCTGTTTGTGTGTGTGTGTGTCGGCATGAGATAGAAACTGCGTTTGAGGGAGAGAGAGAGACAGACAGACAGAGAGAGACAGTTGGTCGGTGTGGTTGTCACTATCATATCCTTAATGTGGACACGAAATTTTGTTATTTTTAATCAATCCACCCCCAAGCAAGACGATGAGCTCACTAAGACTCAAGAGGCTACGGGGAGTGAAATAGAATGAAAAAACTTTAGAAGGAATCGGAAATCCAATCGTAAACAAGAAACTAGGGATAAACCTCTACTCCTGTTCAGAAGATCGATAAGGAATATGAATCAGACGAGAAGCACGCCTATCTACTCCTATTGCGTTGAAAAAAATGAATAAATTGTAAAGAAAATTTCAGAGTTTAGGCGGAGATGTTAGAAGAATAGCGTTGACGTAGACTTTAGAAGGAACCGGAAACGCAATTATGAACAGGAAACTAAGGATAAACTCTAATCCTGTTTAAAAGACCAGGAAGGAATGTGAACCGGGCGATAGGTGAACCGAACTATAACTATTAAGGTTGGGAAGATATATGGCCGTCCACAACTTGAAAGGACGCAGCACATAGAAGAAGAAGAAGAAGAAGAAGAAGATCATCATCTTGTGGCCTCAGCCGAGATTGAACTCACCAATACTTTGATTGGTGTAGTTCATAATCTTGTCAAGTAGCTGAATTCTTGATGCTTCGCTAGGACTATCAAGGGTGTTTTTATCGTGACACCAACAGTAAATGGATTGCCAACCAAGGCTCAGAGAGACACCATTCATCCTCCTCTAAGAGCAGGTTTGAATTCAGAGTTTTCCTTCTCCTAGGCCAATTGCCATCCAAGGCTATAGAACCCAGTCTGTCCTGCTATTTACCCATAGCTGGAGGGAGAAGAAAGAGGATTCACACCTTTCCCAAGGGTGTTAGCACGTAAGTGAATGTAATGGATTCGACTGGAATTCGAACTCGGCTCTCCGATTCCTCAATCCAAGCCGCTATC